TTTCATGCTCCTACACTCCATAGAACGTCCTCGGCTAACTACTTCTCCAGGCTACGGTCCCTAGTGCTACAGCCATTGGACAAATCGTCAGCGGTTTTGTTATTAAAGGGAAAATCAACGTTCGATATTGGATAATCTTCTCAACATTTGCCATGGTCGGAATCGTTGGTTCTTTGGCAGCGCTTACCCCCGATAGTAAAAACACGGGAATCGCCCTGACGCTCGTTGGTCCATTCTTCGTTGGCGTGATCGAGTTAACGTCGCTGGCTATCGCGCCACTGTTTTGCAAACCCGAGGATATTGGTCTGGCCTCTGGTCTGCTTGCCTCGATTCGTTCCGCCGGTGGTTCCATCGCTGTCACCGTTTACAGCACCATCTTGTCCAATCGTCTGAAATTCACCATCCCTCACAACATTGGGCCTGTAGCTGTCGCCGCTGGCCTGCCCGAAGACCAAGTCCCAGCCCTTGCCAAGGCCGTTATCGGTGGCACACTTGCAAAGTTCCCTGGTTTAACGAGCTCGGTTTCAAAAGCTGTTGCTTCTGTCCTACCGACTGCTTACTCGCAGGCCTTCCAAACGGTGTATCTGGCTAGTTTTGGATTCGGCGCCATCGCTATCGTAGGCTGCCTGTTCGCGAAAGACGCTCGGGAACTGCTAACAAACAAGGTCGAGCGAAAAATGCATGGAGCTACCGTGGGCCAGAAGGGTGGAGAGACGGAGACTATTTAGATGGTGAGATGATTTAGCGAATATGGTTGATAACGGGATGACTTGATACTTTTAGTTACGTGATTCGGTTATAAGATATCAGCGTGCGCCCCTTTGTATATAATACCCATTTACTCTCTCTCTACAGTGGAACTAGCTCTCGAGACAATGTGCTAGTTCCCTCAATGTTGGCACTTTTTTGACATGATAATATAGAGGTGACCATGGGCTAGTTTTGCTCTGCAGCGATTGCAGTCTAGTTCGGCCTCATAGAGAATGATCTCCCCGGCTTGTATGCAGCTAACCATTTCCATCCAAGAGCTGTGCTAGTTGCATCTATTAGTCCTGCGACACTGATATCTTCCCATTTTTATACAGTCGTCCCATGGTATTACCATGTTCGATCCTACCAATCTTACCTATTATCCGAACGTTCCGCAGATCAGACTAACGGGAAGAACATAAATCAGTTCTATTGTGGTTTCTCAACTTACGGTCAGCTAATGAGATGGCAAATAATGTGTCTGTCGCCTTGAAATTACGTCCGAACTTAAGCCTGCTTTAGCTCTTTGAGGTTAATGTGAGGTAGTATCGCTTCAATACCTACGATATGATGAGTAGGTGTGGTATGTAACGTTAGAGTTAGACGTATACCATCTGCATAGATGCAAGGGGCCATGGGTCCAAAACCTTGTAGTTATGACAGTTCGATGTGTCTCTCTCTCGCAGACATGGAAAACCCAAATAATTGTTTTCGTCAGGAAGGCAGAAAGAGAGATCCTTGGTATTGCCGACCAATCGACACATCAATCTAACAAATACAAGTCCAAACTTAATCCCCCTGTAGGGCTTGCATGAGGTGTAAGCGGATAGTCCAGAGTGTAACAATGACGGCCATCATCCCGCATTTCAATCCTCATATTCTCCGCTTTCTCCCCCCAGCCTCCAATTAATGTAAGGCCCGCTGCCGCTGTGGGGAAGAGGTGGTCGCGGGGTACCTGGCTTATAAGTTATAAGCCGGTTGAGCACACGCCGAGCACTGCTAGATTTTTCGACCGTCCTAAGTACAGCTCTGGATCTAGGATAAATTGCATATCCCAGCAGCTTGTTGGTATGTAATGTCTAATTGGTATTTAAGGCCGATGGCGTCCCACGACAGTAGTGGCTTATGCGAGTCTCGCCGCCCTCTTCACCCAACCCCGTAGGTAAAGAGAGACTTAGAACGTGACAACGCAAAGTCCATCATTAGACTTCCTAAGAAGACACTATGAAAAGGTTTTCACTCGCAGAGATTTCTTCTCTGGGATCCTGTTTGGGAATTGCTGCAGTCACTGCCCAGGTCTTCGATCCCAACCAGGGCACATCGTCAGGATGGGACCCTGCCGTCGTGGGTACGAACAAAACAACCAATGCAACATACTCAAATCCTGTCATGACTCTCAATGTCGGTGATCCTTTCATGACTAAGTACAATGATCCGGATGGCGAGAGCTGGTACTTGTTCACGTACACGACGAACTCAAACGTTACCCTTAAACGGTCGAGATACCTCACAGACAATTGGGACCATGCAGAATCGCGTGTGCTCTTCAATCCAGACCCCAATTCCAGAGAACCCTGGTCGACGAGTTTATGGGCGCCCGAAATACACAATATCTCAGGCTCATGGTATACGATATTTACCGCTACTTCAGACGGCGACAACCCATTACCGTTACTAGATGCCATGTGCCCGATAAATTGCCCGGTGAGTTGTATACTCTTAAAACGAACTGAGCCATGAGACAAGAGGCGGTCTTGAGTGGCTGCCCTATTTTAATAATTAGCTTGACTTACACGTTTATATAGGCCATCAATCATCGTATGTTCGTTCTCGCAGCTGATGGTCCGAACCCGTGGACAGCGACCTACTCGTTGAAGCCTATGCTGGACACGTATGACCAATTCGCCATCGACGGGACATATTTCCAATATGAGAATCAATTGTATCATATATACTCCTGCTGGGGAGAAAAGTACTCAGCATGGCCGGCAAATCTCTGCATCACTAAGATGTCAGACCCGTGGACCGTCAACTCGACGTTGCTTGAGCGCCGCATGATCAGCGTGCCAGACCAACCATGGGAACAAGTACCTGTAAGTCTTTCAAACTGAAGCCCAATTACTTTCTACTAGAAGCTAAACATAATAATATTTTTAGTACGGGAGGCCGATTCGCCTCGCGACCAACGAAGGGCCGCAGCAACTCACGAATCCCAAAACGGGACAGAACTTCGTAATCTATTCCGCCGCACGGGTTAACACGCCCTTCTACTGCCTTGGTATGCTCGAGCTTGTCGGCAACGACCCCATGCAATACCAGTCATGGAAGAAACACAAGGAGGGCTGCGTGTTCCACCAGAACACCGTGGCAGGGGTCTACGGTACCGGCCATGCCAGCTTCACGACATCGCCTGATGGGTCGGAGGATTATATCGTGTATCACGCCATGACGACACCGAACCCTCCTGCTGATATCTACCGGACGGCTAGGATACAGAAGTTCACGTGGAATGCGGATGGCACGCCTAGCTTCCCTCTAGCTGAGAATGGGCCCTTCCCCGTGCCGGTTGGACAGAAGGAATTAACACAGTAATGATTACTTAATGGCGATTATTATACACGTTAGATACCAATATGAACTCGTAATGGAGATAGCTCCGAACTCGGATAGGATGGACGAATAAATGAATATATTCAAAGCACTCTGCACAAACTGGACTCGGACTAGGTTTTCCCCAACCCGCTCGGCAGCTACTTGATCGCGTCGAATAAGTGTTGCGAGGGCGCCTTATCGGCTCAAATAGAAGAAAGGTCTTCGTACTCATATGCAGTCTGGTGTATTGTGCATCAATGCTATGGTCACGGGCACTAATTCCAGCTCAAAGGAGTGCGGTACTGGTGTAGGAAACGTTGCCAGTCTGAAACAAACGGGACGGAGAAAAGGCATATGATATATAAGTGTAAATTTTATGCTTTATTGTACCTCGATATGATACAAGGCCATCCCGTCTGAGGCCCTGACCTAGTCGTCATCATTTCATAATAGTCATATACTCATAAAACTAATCCAAACCATTAGACCGCACCGAATGCGCTAAACAGCCCTGCATCCTACACTATTACCCACAGAAACACGCCCATCATGAAGGACACAAGCCATCCAGAGCGAATCCTCACAGCAGCGCTCTCAGGCTCATTGACCTCGTCCTTGAACGCACCAATGACATTTCCCCGCGGCCAATACTCACAAACGAGATACCACCCTTTCTCACCACACAACCTCTTCCCACAGCCAACATCTGTTGTATTCTTCCAAACCAGCTGCGTAAAGTGCCCCGTATCCTCGCTAAACTTTCCCTTCTGATAATTATACTTCTTCCCTTCGTCGCCCCACGCCTCGACGCACGACGTCGCGTTGGAGCAGCCGAGCGCTAGGTTCTCGCCGTACGGGCCGCCCGAGTGCGCGAACTTGCAGTCCTCGTCCCCGACTTTGTCCAGGTAGTCAGCGGCGAACGACTCGAGCGTCTTGTTCCAGGCCACGGCGGACGCGTTGTGCGCGTCCCGGTAGAAGTTCGTGCTGTTGAGGATCGCCGACGTGAACGTATCCTCGTCTACGAACTCGGGCGCTGTGCTCGGGATCGTAGGCGCCGCTGTGACGACGACTGTTGTCTTTTGCGAAGATACTGAGGCTGTGAATAGGAGGAGAGCTGCGAGGGCAGAGAATCGCAGAAGAGTTTCGGGGCCCCGGGCCCCTGATTGTGTTTTCGCCATTGGTCGGGCAAGAGAGTTTTGGCCGTGGGGGTTTATGTGATCAAGACTTAAATGTATCCAATGATTTTATTCTTGGTCACAAATCTCGTAGTAGTATTTATTAGGGATGCGCAATGAAGTCTTTTATACGCGAAATAACTCGAAATGGGCCAAGATGCACCGAGGAAAAATCATCAAATCAAAATAAAAGCATAAGCCGCTCATACGTATTTACTTTCCCTTAGGATGCCCGCCAGCGGGTGTTGAATCCTCCCATAGCCAGGTTTTGAGGCCCTGTTTCACATGGACTTGACTCGCGACGAGATCTTGTTCCTTGAATGGACAAGGTAGGAAGTGTGATGACGCAGTCTGGGCGACCCGGTCTGACGTCGAAGGATTATCCCAAGTTTACGCGCTGCGGGGTAAGTTGGAGAAACCCCCTCGTTCCAAGAATTTCATTGTAGTACCCTTTCAAACTCATGTTCAACAAATCAAACACCTGGCAAGGTGGCCGAGTGGTTATGGCGGTAGACTCAAGTGAAAACAACTTGCCTGTGTACACACAGGAGTATTCTACTCTCGAAAGAGGCAGGGGTTCGAATCCCCTTCTTGTCAAATAATTTCCTCTAAGGAAATATTCTTTTTCCTATTCTTTTCCCTTATGATATCAACATGTTAAAGATTACCTTAAAGATTACGTCTTCTGAGTGGAGTAAAAGGCTTGTAAAGCTTTGCTTGTTTAATAGTAGGCATCAAGTAGGAGGGTCAAGTATATTTTGTTCTAATTTCTGCCACTTCTTACCACCAAGCCGTGAACTTTATAAAAAGAATCAATAGATCTGCTGTAGTCCCTGCACTACATTTGCGGTACCCATTTGTTCCCAGTTAGAATCACACTGTGCCTACCGTGTAAGCTACCCCATACCTTAAATTGTACGCACTTGACTTAGCAGCATACAGCACTCTCGAAAAGAGACCTAATACTTGTACCTACTACCTACCACCTGCGCTACCTGCACTACTAACACCCAACTATTTCAATAACATAATATTTATTTAAATTAGTTAACTAAACTATTAACTAAATATTATTATCATAACGTGATTATTTATTCTGGTACGTAATGATCTAACTGTGTAAGTAAATCAAACTTACTGTCTACTAGGTAGAATGTTGTGTGCTGCTAAGTTGGTAAGCTTCTATACAGGTTAGGTGCGAAGTAGCTCACACGGTGCTGCAGCTAGCTCCAACTAGGACCAAATAGATACAGCAGGATATAGTGCAGGGACTACAGCAGATCTAGTAATCCTTTTTATAAACCTAGAATAAGCTTGTTGAGAAACCTAATAACTCCTCTAACAGCCGTACCCTTTCGTGTATATCCACTCTAACAATGACAGATAATTATACCCAAGAGCAAGATCCTTTCTCCCAGAAATCATATCAATTCCCAATACATGTCTTCGTTAACCATGATGCTCAACTAAGGGGCTGAATAAACTCTCAAATCTAGAGAATCTTCTGGAGAGCTACGGTGATAGGCCCCAGGATCTGGGCAAGGATACTCTGAATAGCGGCGATAGCAGTCCGTACACTATCAGTAGAGGGGCCCGAGGTACCGGCAATAGCAGCGTTGGCGAATGTGGTGACGGGCGTGACGAAGGGGTTGACAGTAGCGACAACCAGCACGAGCTCAGTCTTGACGAGGCTCAATGTTGCTGCCAATTTCGGTAAGCACGAGTGTTTCCACATAGTTATGAAGCAAACAATCTAAGCACACAACGTACCACTAGGGAGGCGGGCGAGGATGAGGTTGACGGTAACCTGAATCTCAAGCTCGATGTCCCTCACGTTCCCGACGAAGCCCGGAAGGTTTGCAAGCTCCTCTTCGGCTAGGGGCAAGACAACGCCGGTGACCAGAGGCACGACCAATTTGGTGACGCTCGAGATTTCTGCGGCGATGTTTTTTAGGGATGCTTTAAGAGCGGGGACAGTCGCATCGTTGACAGTGGTTTGGACCAGATTGTCTGAAGAAAAGCTTAGCTGAGACAGGACGGTGGGGAAGGACAAGAAGGTGGTGAAGCATACCAATGATGGCTACTTGACTGTCAACAGCAGATTTGGCGTCAGAAACCGCGCTAATCGCACTGGTCAAGATCTTGGGGTCGCTGCGGACAACTGCGGTCGGAGCGGCAAAAGCCGAGCCGATAGAGAGGGCGGCGAGAGCGAAAGTAGTGAACTGCATGTTGACTCTGAGTGTAGAAGAGATAAGTCCTGGGTGAGATGAAGCAATAACTGATGATTCTCTAAGAATAGGCTTGTTTGTAGAGGTAAACTTGAATGCTGATAGAGTGGATGAGTTGAGATTTCTTGGTGATAGAGTGAGGGAAACTTCTGAAGTTGAAGTGCTGATCCTGTCCGTTATATACACATCTTCCAAAGCTTTCAGACCAGCAAGTGACTCCGCTCAAAGACACGTTCTAGCAATGTCATCCTTTAACTCTAGACTGCGATGACTTTAGCGCCACCAATATTGTGTTCATTTGCATCATCGAAGCTGAATCGTTCACGATCGAGTTCTTCTCGATACGTGCGCAGTGCCCGTGGCTAGCGACTCCCGTAGGTCTAGACAAATACTCGGTTCCGGGCGGTCAGGCCGGAGAAGCGTTATTCTGAGTCCAGAGGAGACGAGGCTCATCGAACTGAAGGAAAAAGAAAAGCGAGATACAGGTGCCATCTGGGCCTAAGCTCAGCTTGACATCTGCCACAAAGTCTAGATCTAGAGTAACACCATTCGGCTCCAGCTACCGATCGGGACTAAACCTCCCATGCAGGCTACAGCTTGTGGCGATCTTCCTGGATTTATGAAAGAGCACATAGTAACATGTCTCCTCGCCTCGAAACTTGTGGCGTCATTCATTAAGTGAGATGAACTGAAATAATGAGAGAATTACCAGTGTTGTCCCCATTATTCGGATTAGGACGCATCTACACGCCTCGCTGTAAAAGACGAGTCTATGGAATGTAACAGGATCGTACCGATAGTGCTAGATCGACACCAGATCTACACTACTGTAGATCTACATCAGATCCGTACCAAACTTATCCAAATCATAATTATGCTTGGGGTTGGATTGGTTAGGCCTCGAACGCTCCAACACACGACTCCCCCACAAGTTGGAGTGACCTGCAGGTATGCAGGAGACGGATCTTACATCCCGCCTCAGCTAGCGCCGGACCAGAGAGATGTGGCTGCAGGCGGCATGCAGCCCGAGATTTCCAGACTACCTCTACGGAGCATTTTCATGTTGGAGATCGGATTTCGCCGGCGCCAGAGAAACCCGACAGGATTTAATAGTGTCACCTAAAATATTTATAGCTACCACATTGTTCTAGATTGTAGATCGCCAAGGGCACAACTGCCTGCTTCTGTAACAAACCTCTCTCTTCTTGTCGTGAACTCGTCTCATAGGCGGTGTACATGGCATGATTAGTTAGCTTTTACATCCAGACAAACAGGCATCAGCCACCTGAGGATGAAGGCCTTTCCTACTACTGGCGGCGTGATGGTTTTCAGCTTGGCTTTTTCGAATTGAAACCCTATCATGACGTGCTTTCAATATTTCCACTGCGCGGCAAAAGCGGCCAAACCTGATAATCAACTCAACACTTTTAAACCAGAAGCCGCTTAGTCCAAAGACCGACTCTGCTTGATAGATCTGGCCTGGATGCAGGAAGAACAGCATTCAGGCCATCCAGACTCCCGTATAACAGCATCAGAAGTAACATAGATATTCTAAATTTGAAGTTCAAAGCAAGCTCTATTGGCTATGAATGACGGCGTGTGAAAGAGGCCAAATAGACAGGCAGGCGGAATCCCCATGCCTTAGTTCTGGCCGAAGTTGAAAGGCTAGCAGGGCAGTCATTCGTTCCCAAGGCAAAATGATCTTCGAAATGTATCACGTAATCACCTAGGTCGATAGTGAGTCCAGCTGTGCTGGGTAGTGATAACCTCAGCCATTAACTCAACTACGTCCGTAACGAACTTGGCATTTCGAATGTGGGCGATAGCAAACAGGCTCCATGCCGCTAGGGCAGATCCATATGGCCGGAACCGGTCCAACGAACTTAGCACTATATCTACAATGCGATCGAGGTGGCCCCGTCGATCCGGTTCTCCTTCTTGACCTTGCTTAAGCATCAACTTGTACCTGGTGACTAGTTTAGTTCCATAACCATGCTCCTCCTTCTTGTCTCTGATACTTTAATTCGCCCGATATAAGGGCGCTGACTGGCGCAATAAGCGTAGTGACACCTTCCTTTATGATGACCTACGGATGCTCCGGCACGCCTCTGTGTCACTTTGTGTCACTATCTAAGAAGTTTCGTCCTGTATTCCTTTCTGGATTGTGAGAGCAGTGCTAGTACGATAATCCAACCACTTCTTTCTTGTATTAACTGGTAGATTATTGGAGCGAAACGTATCTCGCGGTTGCTTTGCTCTCGTGTGTGTTGGTAATGAAGAACAGAAGAGTTTTGATTATTCATCTGACCTAGCAACTTGACTCTAATGGACTCCCTGTTATGAACCAGCTCTGACTTTAATTTTGGGAAGTCACACAAGATGCTCATCGCGAAAACCTGATGAAAAGTGGTCATTGTGTTAAGAGAAGTTAGGACATTAGTTAGAACAGAAAAAGGAGAACAAGAAAAATACAAAAAAAACGATGAGAGACGAGGTATGCTAGAAGATGGTAGCTACCTTCCACGAAGTGTGTTGGATAGGATGTTAGGTCTATTTAAACTCATTGGTGGCGCAGTGATTCGAACCTATGTTCTAGATAATTTAGGAGGATGGCCAGTCCTTGGTAATTAGGAAAAAACCACTGTACCGCAACAGCCGCAGCTGTTATCTTGGAGGGGTTGCTGGTTATTGGTAACTATAAGGGCAAACACGCAAGTCGGTGGCCCCACTTCCATAGCAACAAGAGTACAGTGCCTATCTACTATGTAGGTAACTAGGTACTAAACAATAGCGAGGGAAATATTTATGTCCTTCCATTTATTCTTCTTCGGGTTTCACATCGTCCTTTTCCGATTTCTTCTTATCTGTTGCTGTTTGCTTCTGCCACATGGCATGGTAACTGCCCTTGAGTTCCAGAAGCTCGCTGTGCGTACCTCTCTCGATGATTTTGCCCTGGTGAAGCACGATGATCTGATCTGAGTCTACAATCGTGGAGAGACGGTGCCTATAAGACTCTTATGTTAGCTCACTAGACTCTTCTCATGCTTATCTCCTGGTTGAGATTGAGTACGTACGCGATCGTGACAGTGGTGCGGCCAGCAGTCACCCTCTCTAAAGCTTCTTGAATTTGCCTCTCTGTGTGCGAATCCAGAGATGCAGTGGCTTCATCAAGCAGCAGAATGCGTGCGTTCTTCAAGATGGCGCGTGCAATAGCGATCTATCGTCGATTCTTAGCAGAAGAGCACCTAAGTGGAGTGTCCAAGAATGATTACTTACCCGTTGGCGTTCGCCACCCGATAGCTTCAACCCTCTCTCGCCCACCTTTGTGTTGTATTGGTCTGGGAAGGCCATGATACGCTCGTGAATATT